TAATGTTGGCTGTTGGTTTTGCATAATGCCCTTTATTATGTTGAGGAATGTCCCTTCTATTCCTATTTTGCTGAGAGTCTTGATCTGGAGTGGGTGTTGCATTTTATCAAATGCCTTTTCTGTATCAATTGATATGATCATGTGGTTCTTTTCCTTTGCTTTATTTATGTTGTGGATGATGCTGATTGTTTTTCTAATGTTGAACTATCCCTGCCTACCTTATATGAACCCCACTTGATCATGATGAATGATTTTCTTGATAAGTTGTTGGCTAGGATTTTGTTGAAGATTTTTATATCTATATTCATGAGGGATATTTGTCTGTAGTTTTCCTTTTGAGTGATGTCTTTTCCTGATTTTGGAGACCCAGTATATCTTGACACCCTTCCCGCCACATAATTCCAAGTATGCTCATAGTTGCCAGTTATTATCTACCCACTGTGGGCTACTACTGACCTCATGTCATCTCTACATGAATACTCCATCTTCCATTTGCATTGAAAATATATAATGCTGAAACAATATAATGCTAATCTTTCTGAACAGCACTTGTACCCGTTTATTAAATAGTGTGTTTGTTAAATATTCGTGCCTATCTTAGGGAACAAGATATCCTTGGTACCAAGCTATAAGGTGTGGGTACAAAGTAGAAGTATACTCCTCCCTCTTGACTGTCTCATCCAACTTGTTATATTTATGACAAGAGTGCAAAAAGAAATATCTATTATCCTAATATTTTGCACATGTGTTGCAGTAATGAATGCTGAAGTACAAAAAAGCAAGCATGATATGACGTTGGCTGTGATAGTTAAGGTTATTTTTTAATTTGCCAGGGCCATGATTCTCAATATTTAGTGTTCAGGCATTGAATTTGAATTTCACCTTAGTTCAAGTCATTCATAGTAATCAATCTTTAACCATGTTATACTTATTTGAAGGTCTTAGGAATTTTAAATTGCTTACCTGGAACTCAGAATATTTAATACATTTTTTCCAGCTTTCTTACTATATGGATAAGTTTGAAGAATTCCAGACTACCATGGCAAAAAGCAATGAACTTTTTACAACCTTCAGGCAGGAAATGGAAAAGGTATTTACCTATTCTATAGAGTATTAAACAGTGTAAAATAAAATTTAAAAACCAGTGCTTAAATTTAAAAGTAGAAAAATATTTAGGGTATTTAAGTGCAGAATGTGAGATAAAGAACCATTTTAAAGGACAAAATTATCTGCCTTTTCTCAAGAGAAAAGTGTGGCTCTCTATGACTTTTTAATTCAGATTGGGTTGGAAAATTTAACTTAGTCATTTGGAGCACAGACTAAGGAATGGAGCTCTGTTACTTGAACATGTACTTTTCTTGGAGAAAATTACTCATCTTGATTTTTTTCCCTCTTGAAATAGAGGATTTTTGAAAATAGAGCAAAGCTGGGGTGATAAATAAAATAATGCCTCACATTTTATAAGCATTTAGTAGTTGGTAGTCATGATTATTACTAGATTTTATGTACTAGTCAAATGTTATGTTTGAGAGAGAACGTAAAGAGCCCTGATGGTGCAGTGGTTAAAATACTCGGCTGCTAACGAGAAGCTTAGCAGTTCAGACCTGCTGTCAACCCTGTGGAAGAAAGATAGGGCAGTCTTCTTCAAAGAATACATGGTTGGAAACCCTGTGGGACAATTCTACTCTTTTCTGTAGGGCCACTGTGAGTTGGAATGAACTCAAGTGGCAGTGAGTTTTTTCTTGAGAGAGTATGTACTCTGTAGTTGAATTTCTTGAGGTAATTTCACTCTAGTTATTTAATGTATGATCATGCAAAGTTAATTAACCTTTTGTTCTGTTCCTTCATGTTAAAAGAGGGTAAGGAAAATTTCTGCGCTTCATAAAATAGAGTGTTTTAGTGACTGACAAATGTTTAAGTACTCAAATTACTACCTTCTGGTATTTTTTGATCTACTAATCTAAAGAATTCAGTTCACAGCAGATTCTTTCTGCTAGTCCTTTCACTTGAGACTGTAGTTTCAGGAGGAAATGTTAAATATAGAATTTAAAAGGAGCACAAGCTTATGGAGGGGAACTCACAGAGAGGAACTGTCAGTCAACACATAACACACAACACACAACCTAGCTCTTTCATGACCTCTTCTATATAGTCTTTGTTCCCATTAGCCTTGTATTAGTTTTTCATCTGTAGTATCTTTATCTCATGGCTTAGTGGCCTTTTACACTGAACAAAGCTGATGCATAGTCAAAAATATGTAAAGGAATACTGAATATTGATTCCTGTGCACAGGTTAGTGATATTCCTCTTATGTGGGGACCCACTTTATCTTGGGCAAAATCCAAAGAAAAGCAGTCTTGTGAGTAATAAGGATAAATGAGACTAAAAATTACTTAAGTTTACATTTTCAGTCATTAATAGAATCTTACATAATTAGGCTGAAACTATTGTGGCCTCAGATTCTTAGTGTTTGGGGAGCCAAAAATTGCTATCCTTCCAAAAATCTGATGAAATTTAGTTCAGTGTAACATTTCTCTAGAATACTCATTGATATGGGCATATTTTCATAGAACTTAAAGGAAGGAATGATTGTTTCTTGCTACACCCACTTATGGTAAAAGACTACACTCCACCCTTAACAGAATTCAGAGTGTTGTGTCTGATAGCTTCCTCCCTGAATGCTTTTTTTGAAACTGAGATGGTAAATTTCCTTTTTGCATAATATGTAGCCTCAGTTACAGTTCCTATTACTGCCACCTTAGGGGCTTCAAAGATAAGCCAGAGGTATATGGAATAATGGGATGTGTGGAAGGAACATTAAACAAATGTTTTTATTTTTGAGGTAGGACAGTAAGTGGAAAAGAGCTACTTTTCAAGTTAATACAGTTTTGTGTTTTCAGTTAACATTCGCAAAGTAAGTTTGGTTCCTATTTAACAATTATTACTCATATTATTCAGAGACATTAGTGAAATTTTTCACAATGTTTTAACATTCTCATTAATTGCCTTGCAGATCTTTTGCTTCCAGTAATCTTGTTTTTTGTTTCCTTAACTTTTCATCTTTGCTTCAGTATAATTGTTGACCATTTGGTCTCATATAGATGGTGTTATTCTTTATTGTATGAACCGATCTGTTATTTAGGTCAAAGATACCCTTAGGAAGTAGTTTTGGTTGAAGGTTTATGGGGTATCCCAGAGCAGTCACCTCACATAGTCTTCTCGTCTCATTTAGTGTAGGTATTCCGGACCTTTTAAGAATTGGGATTCTGTTGCACATTTTCCTTCCATTCTATCAGGGTCTATTTATTGGCACATTTTCCTCCCATTCTATCCGAGTTTATTTATTGCGGACAGTCAGTAGTGGTAGTGAGCCATCAACCATGGTTCATGTAGACTATTAGTGATGTGGACTAGTTTGTTGTCTTGAGTCTTTGGGTTGCTTCTTTCTCTTTGCTGTGACCAAGACGAGCAATCTAACATGGAACAGTTGGTCTCCTCTTGGTCAGAAGAAGAGACCAACTTTTGCATGTTAGATGGCTACACAGCTATTGTTCTTAAAGACGTATGTAACTGTCAGCTAATTGAGGTATATGGAATAATGGGATGTGTGGAAGGAACATTAAACAAATGTTTTTATTTTTGAGGTGGGACAGTAAGTGGAATTTAGAATTGAAGTTTGCAATTGTGTTGATTCACAGATGACAAAGAAAATTAAAAAGTTGGAAAAAGAAACTATATTATGGCGCTCCAAGTGGGAAAATAACAATAAAATACTTCTGCAAATGGCTGAAGAGGTGAGATAATTTTATTTGACTAAATAATGGGTACTCCTTTAAATTTAATTTCTTGCAGTTATTAGTTCAGGTTTGTGTTTTGGACAGGTAAAAAGTTTCTAGATTTTGTTTTATTTTACAGCACACTTAGTTTGCATAGATTCTGGTTGTTAAAACTAGTACACTGCTCCAGCTTCAGTTCTCTGATATTTTCTGATCTTTTAAGTCTGGGGTGGGACAGATTTTGCATTTCTGCCAGTTATCTAGGTGATGCTGGGTGCTTCTGGTTCAGAGACCACAACTTTTTGAGCCACTGGAGCTTGGGTGGCATAGAGCCTAAGGCATTTGACTGCTTCCTTGAAGGCTAGTGATTCAAACCCACCAGCCACTCCTCAGAAAGAAGATTGGGAAATATACTTCTATAGAGATACTGTATTGGAAACCCAAGGAGGGTCGCTATGAGTTTGATTCTACTCAACGGCAGTGAGTTTGGTTTTAGTGCTGTATAGAGTGAAGCTCTGGTTGTGCAGTGCATAAGGCATGTGACTGCTAACCAAATAGTTAAACCCACCAGCCGAGAGGAAGATGAGGCCATATACTTCCATAAAGATTTTTACAGCCTTTGAAACCTAATGGGGGTTGCCATGAGTCAGAATTGACTTGATGGCAGTGAGTTTGGTTTGGGGTTTTTTGGGTTCTACATAAAAGATAATTCTATTCTGATTTCCCCAAGGGAAATAACACAAACTAAAAACTGAGTTGCTTTGCTTCCTTTACTTACTCTTTCCCTAGAGATAACAAAATACTTTTTGTCATGTTTGCCATGAGTAAAGCCTGATGTGTTTCATCAGAATTACTAGATTTCTTGCTTTCAGAAACTTGTTAAGTCTAGTTTATATTATTTTGGAAGACAAAATTGTGGGGAATATATATTACTCTCTTCTCAAAATTGATAGAAGGGAATAGAACTCCATGTGAAAGTACACCTCTTCCTCACTCATTGATCCTTTCATTATGTAACATTTTGAATTTATGACAATATGAAAAAAGATCATCAGTTCTTTATTTTGCTCATTTATGACTACATTTGGCATGAACGAATGCAAACATGGGAGGCAAGCATAACACTGGCTGTGATGGTTAAAGGGCTTAACTGGCCCATGATTCTTAGTGTGACAGTCAGTGTTCTAATTTGACAATTACATAATGTCATCCTCCCCTTTTCTCATAATGCTGATTTTTACATACTGATATGGTCTTTAGAACCTAACCCATATTGATTAAGGGAGGAGTCAGTGTATAGATTTCTCTTAAGTAACTCTTATTACTGACATTTTAAATTCAGATCGTTAACTTCCTTAATATTACATCAATCAAATGTTTCTTAAAATCAGGAAGTAGAATTTGTTTAAAGAAACACAGAATTTCATTTTGTTGCATTGTTCTAGAATGAGTTGTTTATATATCATTTGATGTCATTGAAAAGCTAAAACCGTTTTCAGAATGACTCATTACTTACTTTTATATACAAGAACCTAATTTGTATTTAATGAGGTTACTGAAATCTTGTCCTTTTTTGTTTTCTTACAGAAAGCTATTCGTGATAAAGGGTACAAGGCCCTTCAGATAAAAGTAGAACGGCTAGAGAAGCTGTGCAGCGCTCTTCAAGTGGAAAGAGATGAGCTCAGTGAGAAGGTGGAAGTCCTTAAGGAGCAGGTCTCTGTAAAAACAGCACATGTACAATTAGCAGTGCCTAGGTTACAGTCATGTATTGTTCTTGATTCTGATGAGGAGCTCAGTAGTTCCTCTGAAAAAGATATAGGACACCAGCTGGAGGTGGGCCTCAAGGCACCAAATGAAATAAAACATCACTCAGAAGACCCTGTTCACAGGATTTCTTCTAAACACTGAATCAGTTAACTAAAATGAAGCGTGATAACTATTTTGAGACACTTACTTTGTGTATAACTATGTAAGTAACAACTGTTGCTTTTGTGGTAAGTTTTGTCTTAACTTTTTCTACCATATCTGCATTTTCTTAGAACCACCAGAGTTGGATGGTACACAAGGCCTCTTAACAGTTTTACTTTGTTTTAATCTGTACATTTGCCCTACTGTGTTGCACATTTTCCTTACTTTCCTCTCCTTTTGGAATTCAATTTATTGCCTTGTGTTTTTAGTGTCCTTTTCCTGCCTTCATCATCTTGTCCCCTGCTCCTTGCATGTAGTTATCATAAAATGAGGCTTTGTTCTGATAATGAATGGTTTTTTGATGTGAGAACAAATGCTAATTTAAATGCTCTGGCCCATCAGTATAATTCAAAAAGAAAAAGTATGAACATGATTAGTTTCGTCCAATAACCCACTTGAATGCCAAGTAAAAATAAATACAGTATTGATCAGAGACAAGCACAGCATATTTGCATCAAATTAGACTTTTTATAATGTTTATATCACTTGACAAATTGTGATGACCTCAACTCTCAAATCACTCAAGCGGGATATATAGTATATATGAAGATGGCCCTTACAAATAAAGTTTATTTAAGCAAGTCATTGGACAAACAGGCTTAATGTTTATGAGACTAAAAATGTTACTGTTTTGTTTTTGGATTATAATCAGTGTTTAAGGAAAATAAGTATCTAGACACCTGCACTTGGAATTCATTTATTTTCTTTAGTTTAATGATAGTTTAATGTTTCTGTAGTCCTATGACATTCTCGGAAGGAAGGTTGGGCAATCCTACTTCAGTAGTGATACTGCCTCGGAAACCCAAGGAGGGGTCCCATGAGTCGGGGCCGACTCCACAGCACATAACAACAACAACAACATGACATTCGTAGATGGTACAAAAGGTTAATATGCTAGGCTGCTAATGAAAAGTTTGGAGCTTCGAATCTATGCAGAATCACCTCAGAAGAAAGTCTTGGTTTTGTACCTGTGAAAAAATAACTATTAAAAACCGTAAGGTGCTCAGTTCTATTCTGAGGGCGTAGGAGGTTCCCTGAGTCAGAACTGACTTGACAGCATCTGATTGGGTCATTACAGTCATGATTTAAAATAGGTTGAAAATATTGCAAATTATCTAGTGGATAAGAAAAAGGAGTAAGAGATTACTTGAAAGTTTCCATCAGGGGCCAGAAAGTAGACGAAAAGAAATTAACATGAAATTCGAAAATTTTATTTAAGTACTGTGCCAGAATAAGCAAAGCTAAATCTCCCCAGAAACAGTTTTTCACAAGTAACACCTTTAGCTATGAAATGAAATACTAGACTCACTTTCTTAAGGTGACATCAAAGTATACATTAGAAATAATACCTATCTTAATAGCAGTTATCTATATATTAAGATAGAAATAATATCTATCTTAATAGCGTAAGAACTCTGGATGTAAGCTCTTAACTTTTTTTTTTTAAGCCAGTTGGGTATGCCACTGTATTTCTTAGTGGTAATTGTTCTGTGTAGAAGATAGATGTTGGGATGCTGTACTTAGCCTGCTGGGTTTTTTTTTTTTTTTTGGCAGGGGAAGGGATGGGGAATTAAGTTAGATATTACTATGTGGAATAATATAAAAAGGTATGGATTTTGTTTGGGGTACTGTTGATTTTCTTTCAGAATATTTTCCGTGTTACCAAGTGAAAAATAAGAACCAATGAGACCTTTTAAGAAGGCTTTCCTCTTAAACAGCCATTCCTCACCAGACCAATGTTGTAGCTTTGTGGTGTGGACAGTATGTCTTGTATGGACATGATTTCACACTGAAGCCTACACTAGCTACTTTTGGCTAAATAGCATTGCTGGAACACAGCCAAGCCTATCATTTATGGATCGTTTATGCATTGTTTGTTACTATTTCTGCAGTACTCTGCAGAGCTTAAAAACTAAACAAACAAGCTCACTGCCATTGAACAGAAAGAGCCAAGCAAGTGTAATTGAGAACACTGTAGCTGGCCCAGGAAAACTTTAAATGTTGCATTTATTTTAATTTCATTTGTTGTATCAGCATGGAATACTTTGGAGTTACAATATCTGTAGTGATAGTAGACACCAAGTGGTACAGAAAGTTGGATCTTAAATGGCAGAGCATCAGATTTATAGTAATACATTTCTGATCTTCAAATAAACTTTCATTTTTTTTTGACATAACTGTTAAATTGGTTATTACAGTTCAGTTCTCAGGTGTTGCAGACCTACCTCTTTCATATTGTAAACAAAAATAATTGTGAAAAGTTTCCAGTGTTAAACACGCTGTTTATTTTCACAGTCCATGTCTTTCAAGAAGACAAATATAAGAAACAGTCTTGTTTGTCTTTCAGATATTTTGTATATATTTTTGACCAATGTGAATCTGATTTTATCTGCTCAGATCTGTTAATGATTAAATAAATACACTATAATTTTACAGCTACTGAGTGTTTTTTTATAAACAGTATAACTTGAATTTATGATAACAATTCAGTCAAAAGATTTTTTGTTGATACCTAGCTTCTTAGGTGTTAAAAGATAGTTAATTATACAATTCAGACAATGTGGGGTCCCACACTGGTGGAACAAAAGTTTCATTTTATGAGGCCACAGTGTTAACATATGTTCTGCCTTTAAATGGATGATTCTAGAAAATCTACAGTTTTGCTTTTATGTAAAAAATATCTCCAGTTTCAACTAGTCTTAGCATATCCAGGTTTACTTAGCAATATGAAATAAAGAACTGAGTAGATACTGATAGCGAGGGATAATTTGTTTATACAATATAAATTTTTATTATTGATTGTTTTAAGACAAACTTCAGGTTTTTTCAGTCCTATATAAGCGAGCTTTTTCTCCAGCAGAATAGTTAGAGAGAAAATGAATGTACTTAAACGTACTTAGTTAAGTCACATGATAAGGTAGATATTGACAGTTGCAGAATATAAGGATAGAGATTCAACAATCTGTTTCTCCACTAAAATAAACTGAAACCAAACCAAATTCACTGTCATTGAGTCAGTTCTGACTCAACAACCCTCATTGGATTTCCAAAGCTTTAAATCTTCATGGAAGCAGACTGCACACGTCTTCTGCAGAGCAGCTGGTAGATTTGAACCACTGATCACTTAGTTAGCAGCCACATGCCTTTACCACTACACCACCACAGCTCCTTAAAATATCCATGGACTAGCACTCTAGCAGCTAATCAAATGTCCTTCAGTGGCACAGATACTTTGCACTTGACTACTAAAGATTCGCAGTTCAAACCCACCCATGAGTGCAATGGGAGAAAGCCCTGACAATCTATTTCCATAAAGATTACAGCCAAGAAAATCCTGTGATTCTGGGGTCACCATGAGTTAGCAATAGATTTGGTGTGTGGTTTTTGAGGGTAATCAAATCTTTCAATATACCACAATAGAATGAAAGATAGGAACCACACAATCATGTCAATTGATGGCAGAAAAAGAAGTTGACAAAACCCAACTCTTTGATTAAAAAAAAAAAACACTCCCAAACTAGGAATACCAGGGAATTTTCTTAACATACGAAGGCTGGCAGTTCAAATCCACCAGCCACTCCTCGGAAGGAAGATGGGGCAATCTACTTCCGTAGTGATACTGCCTCGGAAACCCAAGGA